ATATTACAAATGTCTCTTTCGTAATTCAATATAGGAAAATTATATGGGCCATTCTCTTGGTTTATTATTTGTATATCCCTTTTATTTATTAAGTCCCTTGGGACAAATATTCCAGATATCACAAAAGTCTCTTTCGTAATTCAATATAAGAAAATTATCTGGATCATTCTCTTGGTTTATTATTTGTATATCCCTTTTAGTTATTAAGACATCAACTGAAGGGATTTTTTTTTAATATGGACAGTGCAGCATCTTTTTCTATATCATGCTTACAATCTGCCATTTTTAAATCCACTTTCCGATCATGTTAATCTTGTCCAGTAAAACTTGTTCCTCTTTCATAACCTCTATAAAACTCAGTCTTATAGAGGCAGACCATCTTAAAATTAACATTCTGACTCCACTGTTCAAAAATATCCTTTAATATTCCAATATTAAAATATTTTGCTTCATTGTTATTAGATCAAATGTAAATGTTTTTCTCCTTTAACTGTAATTTTTAGTTGCTTCTAATTTCCTCTAGTGTTCAACCTTTGAAGTCTGAACCCATGTTTTTTTAAGAGAATTCAAAACAAGAGCATTTTCCTCAGGGGAAGGATTCAAATAATTAATTTCAAAATCCTATTTCAAATCCATCTAGATCAGTGGTTCTCAACCTTTCTAATGCCGTGACCCCATAATACAGTTCCGCATGTTGTGGTGACCCCCAACCACTTATACATCACCGGGTGCCAGAGGTGTGGCCAAAGAAAAGGGGGGGGGGGGAAATGGCGGACAGCCTTGTTTGGCAACCCCCGTGAAATGGTTGTTCGACCCCAAATGGGGTCCCGACCCACAGGTTGAGAACCACTGATCTAGATCTTTAGTACATTTATAACTTTCCAAAATCAAACTTCTAATCATCTTTTGCTGTTTATTCCAAAAAGATTTTTTAAAAATTCCTTAAACCTGTATTTAAAATTTCTTTTGCTAAGGATTGAAGGAAACTCACCTAGTGCTGTAAAACCTGTTAATCCAAAGATTTCCAATAACTGAAAAGTGGTTAACAAGTAATTTCTTTAAGTGGTTAGAAAAGGAAGTATGAAAACCCAGTGTCCTTGTGAAGGCACCAATTGTGGTTTGAGCAAAAGGATGACTCCTTTAGTGTCCCAGAACTCTAAATTAGCTGGTGATTCCTATCTTACATTCTCTTCACAAGGACCAACTGTCCGGAGCATTTGTGGGTGATCTCAAGTTTTCTAATCTGAAAGCAATTATAGCTTGCTGGTCTACTTGCCAGCTGTTAAACCTACTGCAGTTGTCAGATCTGCTTTTAATGGAGCCATCTTCAGTTTGCCATTTCTTTCCTGGAAATCTGAAGTGGGTTAGATATTCTATACTATTTCTTATTATATCTATTCATCTGATTTGTGGAAATGACAGCTAAATCTGCTACTTGTGGGTTTGACTGCAGCAATAAATGCTAGGAACTTGCTTTCTTAAAGCAGCAAGCAAACTGTGAAATTATGCAGGGAAATACACCAACCACATTTACTTTGATGCAGAGATATGTAAAGCCTTTGTGATAAATATTTGCAAAAATCTTAGGTGAGGCCCGTTTTAACTAATCACTGAATGCTCCCTTAGATATAGTTTTTACAACGTATCAACTTGTCCCAAGCATAGCTGTATGTGGTTGGTTACAAATAGCTTCATTTGACTGAAAAATATCAAATGCCTCTGAACTGTGTATGAAGATGATTATTTTACTCAGTATTTGTCATGAGTGTGGGACCAGAAGCCACCAGACAAATGCAGTCAATGGGGCCATCTTCTTTGACTTTTCCTTAATACAGTAATCCCATTCTCTTTATTTTAGCTTTTTTTCTGGGTAGCAGAGAGGTGGATTTCAATTTTATCATTGGACAGCAGGAAATAAATAATTGGAGAAGAGAGTATAGTTGTACAAATCGGCTGCAGAGATGCCCATATAGGAAAACGCCTTCATCTTGAGTAAGATGTTTGTGGTTTGTGAATGACAACTATTTTGGGGAAGAGAAATCTAATTCTCTCCCTTCCCCTCACACTAAAATCTCAAAGATTTCCTATTCACCATACTTTCTGATAATTATATTTCAGGCCTGCCCACTAAGATGGGTCAGTCTTTGTGTGAATCAATTTGCATATTTTAGAATTTCAAAAAAAAACCCCACATATGGACATTTGGGTAGGGGTAATCCAGGAAGGTGGCTCACATATAAATAAAATGTATGAGCTGTGCTTTATCCCACTTAATCAGAATGTGTAACTTTATGCTGAAAAATGTCTCTAGCCAAGGTCTCTAGGAACACACTCCCTATTCAAACAGTGTACAAAGCATTACTTGATTTTTTCACCCTGTCTTGCAACTTCAAGCATCTGCATCTGTACTCAACAGCATCTTACTGTATTGTATATTATATAATATACAATATTACATGATAGCAGTCTTCCAATATTTAATGGAATGTCATAAAGGAGGGGGGGGGGTTTCAACCTATTCTCCAAAGCACCTGAAGGCAGGACAAGAAGTAACAGATGGAAACTTATCAAAGAGAGATCCAAATTCCAACAAAAGAGAAATTTCCTGACAGTGAGAACAATTAATCAGTGGAATGGCTTGCCTCCAGAAGTTCCAAATGCTCCAACACTGGAGGTTTTAAAGAAGAGATTGGACAACCATTTCTCTGGATGGTATCTCCAGGGTCTCATCCTTGAGCAGTGTGTCAGATAAGAAGACCCCCAATGTCCCTTCCAACTCCGTTATTCTGTCTACCAGCTTTAGAAAAATTGTCACGCAGATACCATCCCATGGTTTTGTAATGAAGCATTAATTATAGTTAGACCCAATGTTCTGGCCATGACTTTTCATTATCTAGGTCAGTGGTGGCGAACCTATGGCATGGGTGCCGGAGGTGGCACTCAGACCCCTCTCTGTGGGCATGCGCGCTGTCGCCCCAGTCCTAGGCCTTCAGCTGGGTTTTATAAAACTTTTTCGCTTTAGGCCTCCGCCATGTGCAAAATAAAAAAGGTTCAGTCAATTTCAACTTCTCGCGGGAAAAAAAAAGATCTGGAATTGATTGGTTGAACGTTTTAGCAGAACATATTAATTCCAACAAATTCTTACTATCATACTTAATCCATTCTAGGCCTCTTGTCTTTCTCAAAGGGAGGAGAAAAGTTCATTTATTGGTTTGTTAGGTTTATGACCCACCTTTTGTGCAGCACACATAGCACTCCATTTTCTCATTTCCCTATCACCACATGAGGTAGGTTGCGTTCCAAGAGAGTGATTGGCCTAATCAGCCAATGAATTTCTGTAGCTGAGGATGTCTTAGAATCTCTGTATCCCTAATGCCAGTCTTATATTTTTAAATAGAAACTATAGTTATAAAAAATCACACATTTTCTATCATTATACAAGGAAAACTATTAAAGTTCTACTAAACCAGTCATTTTCTGTTCTGCTCTTTTTTGAGCTATGTATTGCTAATTCTTATTTTTCCAACGTTTCCCAGATGTTCCTGCAGTGTAGCCAGGGACAATCAAATGACAGATAATCTTTGTAACTTATTTACCAAATCTGACAAAACATAGGTCAATAAACAAGAAGCAAAGGTTCAGTGATTGTCAGCAGTCAAGGGAACATTTGAGACAAGATTTCAAACTTGCAGAGGCAAATTTTCTTAGATAACTATCATAAGCTTCCCATTCTATGCAACCCCGACAAGACATATGTTTTAGTCCAACTCTTCTGGGGCCAACCCATTACCCACTTATCATCTCCCCCACAATGCTTGCAAACAAAGTATGTAGGATTTATAGCTTCTCTTCTCACTGTACTATAATTTCCTGGCCCACAAAAAAGTCAGACAAAACAAATCTCTCTTTTTCCTACCATGCATTCTCTCACCGATTAATCTTAGTCTTCCTCCATCTGCTCTGCTCTAGAGCAGAGGTCCCCAACCCCTGGTACGTGGACCAGTACTGGGGGGCCATGGCATGCCAGCAACCGGTCTGCACAAACAAGCAAAGCCCCATCCGTTGGATGCTGGCAACACACAGAAAAACCTCTCTCCGTGGAACTGGTCCTTGGTGCCCAAATGGTTGGGGGCCTCTGCTCTAAAGGACAACAACCACCCTCAACATTTCCAGCCATATTAGTTATAAATTCTGGAGACTATACTATACAGGTAGTTCTCGACTTACAACAGCTCATTTAGTGACCATTCAAAGTTACAACAGCACTGAAAGTGACTTATGACCATTTTTCACGCTTATGACCATTGCAGCATCCTCATGGTCACATAGTTTACATTTGGATGCTTGACAACTGGTTCATATTTATAACAGTTGTGGTGTCCCAGAGTTACATGATCATCTTTTGCAACCTTCTGACAAGCAAAGTCAGTGGGGGAAGCCAGATTCACTTAACAACCATGTTACTAATGTAACAACTGCAGTGATTCACAACAAATGCGGCAAGAAAAGTTGTAAAATGGGGCAAAATTCGCTTAACAAATTTCTCCCTTAGCAACATAAATTTTGGGCTCAATTGTGGTCATAAATCGAGGACTACCTGCATTCCAAGCCAAACGAAGGTCACCAGATTGGGCAACTGCCACAGAAGCAGTGAGGTCATCCCTTCAGCCAGCTCTTACTTATTTTCCTCTAAAAACTACCTTCCTTCCAACCCTAACCCCCCCCCCCAGCCTCAAGAGTACAATCAGAAAAAGATCTAGCTACATCTCTTCCCCCCCCCCAATCCAAGCTCCTCCCGGGGCACCCAGCAACCCCATTATGGGTACGGTTCTCTCCCCCCCCCAACATCACGCACGCACGCACAAACACACACAGCCCAGCCTTCGCCCCCCCCTAGATCTAGCCCCCCCTTTCCCTCCATAGGAACTCCACGCTCCTCTTCTTTCCAAGCTACGTCCGGGAAGAAGCGAAACAGCCGTCCGTCCGGTTGTCATACTCACCACGTAAACGACGTTGAGCGCACACAGAGCATTGCGTGAGCAGGCGAAGCCCCCGCAAACCATGTTTCCAAACAGGAGGAACAAAGCCCACTCGCCTCTGAAAACGCCGAACAGACTCCCCCTAAGGGGCAGCACCCGTGGACACTACCCCTTTAAATCCCGGCCTGCCTCCACCGCGCTTGCGCACCAATACTTAATGCAGCCTGCCGGCTCGGTGCATTCTCTTGATAGAACGCCTACACTCATCCGCCCCAGGCGCATGCGCCCTTGGAGTAAGACGCACTGCCCCTGGGGAGTCGGTCGTCTCCATCCGGGTTCTGGAGTAAAAATACGGAAGATGCGTAACTCAGAGAGCTTTTGAAAAACAATGATGTGACGTTGTTGCTACTTCCGGTTCCAGGCTGCCATTTTCACGGGCTGGTTGTTGAGTAGTTGGGATTGTCTTTAGTGGAGAAAGGAGAATTTTATAGCGCGCCTTGCTTTATAGTATATGGAAAGAGTTTATTTTTGTTTCTTAGGTGGTATCCACACATTCAAATGGGAAAGTAGCATCTTTTTGCCTTGTAATGCTTGAATATTTTCTACGTTGATGAAGCCGTTTCCGGAAATACTCCCATGGCATCTTTTGCAGCAGAATCGAAGATGCCTTAAAACCCGAAGACATTTAGTGTTTTTGTAGGTCGTCAGCTCAGTAAACTCTATTTAATAAGTCGGTTGATAGGAAAATCTGTGCTAAAAAAGTTTCGGAAATACATGTTTGAGCTAATATTTTTAATATAAACTCTAGAGCTTTAAACATTTAAAAGATATTGGGCTTCAGATGTTCTTATAGAAAAGAAGGGAGCGTTTCGGACATACAGTTAAGAATGAAGTTGTGTAAATTTATTCCTCGAATAAATTCAATGCTGAGGGTGCACAGATATTTAAAATAAAATCCATTGCACGTGGATTTGGGAGGAAGCCACTTATCCCAAGGCAACTGGGTTTGTTTTTCTTTGAAGACATTTCACTTCACATCCAAGAAGCTTCTTTAGCTCTGACTGGATGGGGGGGGGGGGGAGAGAGGAGAGGCTTATCTGCGTCATCAGGGTCACCTGAGTAGTGCAAATGGGTGTGGAGCCTTCTTTGAACTGTTGAAAGGAGTGTTATAGACTGGAGATAGATGATATCATATCTCTCCCCTTCTGTTGAGAGAGGGCTGTTCAATTTTGACACAGATGGCCTCTTTAACTCCTCTTTCAAACTAGTGGTCCTCTCTGTCCAAAATGTGGACTTTGCTGTCTTCCAAAGAATGGACTTTGTCTTTTAAATGCAGATGGACTGCTGACTCTTGTCCTGACAGGTTTGTTCTCCTGTGTTGTGCCATGCGTTTATGAAGTGGTTGTTTTGTTTCCCCAAAGTACAGATCTGCACATGGCTCACTGCATTGTACTGCATATACCATGTTGCTCAGTTTGTGTCTGGGTATTTTATGTTTGGTGCAGACAAGCTTCTGCTTCAGTGTATTCTTGGGTTTGAAGTATGCACGTATGTTGTGTTGGCTGAAGAGCCTCCTGAGCTTTTCCAATATTCCTGCAACGTATGGAATGACAACGTTGCTTCGTTTTTGTGGTCCTCATTCTGATATTCTTCTTTAACAAGAATTGTAAAAATGACAACAGTGTCCCATCATTCTGAATGGGGAATAAAAGCTGTTATGTATGCCATAAGGCATAAGCATATCATTCGGTAGTTAAAAACACCATCCTAAGTTCTTTCCCCCAAGGAATCCTAACCACAAGTGTGATTCAGTTTTACACAGTTTGCAACTCTAAGGGTCCATTCCCAAAACATTTAGCATGGATTTTGTGCCCATGAAAATTGTCTACTGAAAGAGAGAAATAATAGTTTAGTCCAATTGTGTCATGAATTATTTTCTCTCCATCCCCTAGTATGTCCAAAATGAAAGGTACACTACTGAATTAGCGTTCCGCAATATTTGGATAATACTATTGACCTACAGTAAGAATGTAGAGATACTTTGTAGCAGTTATTATCTTTTAAAATCTATTGTTGATATTCTATCATATGTAAATCTAAGGGCTCTTGGCAAGGGATGGGCTGCATCTCACGAAAACAGAGGAAAATGTACTCAGAAAAAGATTGGCCCAACTCATCAGGAGGGCTTTAAATTAAAATTATGGGGGGAGGGTGACCTATTTTTAGGATCTCTAGAACCCAAAAACAATCATAAATCCCAAGAAAACAAATCAAACAATGAGGGAGGCAAAGACGAGAAAAAAAGAAAAACCCAAACAACAATCAGGAGATGCAGGAAACATACCCACAAACAGGCATAAAAGTCTTAAATGCTTATATACAAATGCTCAAAGCTTGGGGAACAAACAGCGAACTAGAAGCAATAGTACACGAGAGAGGGTATGACATAGGCATTACAAAAACCTGGTTGGACGAAACCCAGGAATGGAATGGACTGATGAATACAAATTGTTCAAAAGAAACAGGTCTACAAAAAGAGGAGGAGTTGTACTATATGTAAGAGAACCCTATACATCTACAGAAATGCACATGATCCAAGATAAAATCTCTCCAGAATGTATATGGGTCAATATAAAAGAGAAAAAAAGTGACATTACCATAGGTGTATATTACAGGCCACCCAGCCAATCAGAAGAAATAGATGAACTCTTTGCTAACAAATATATGTAGGAAGCATACCACAGTAGTAATGGGAGACTTCAACTATCCAGATACCAACTGGGAGACAAACTACAGTGAGCGGGAGATCAAACAGATTCCTGACCAACCTAGCTGACAACTTTGTCATCCAAAAGGTGGAAGAGGGAACTAGGCAAAAAGCCATACTGGACTTAATTCTAACTAATAGAGAAGATGTGATAGAGGGAGATGAAGTTGTCGGAACCTTGGGTGAAAGTGACCATGTCATACTGGAATTTAATATAACACAAACACTAGCAATAGAAAACAATCCAACCAATGTCTTAAACTTCATAAGAGCCAACTTTAATAAACTCAGAAAGAACCTAGGAAAGATCCCATGGATAAAAATCCTAAAGGGGAAAACAACCCAAGAAGCATGCGAAACTCTGAAAAATGCGATCATAAAAGCCCAGACCAGCACAATACCACTGAAAAAGAAAAACAAGAAATTCAAGAAGAAACCAGCATGGCTACATAAAGATCTCTCTGACAAAAAGAACAAATACAAAAAATGGAAAAAGGGGTACATAACTAAGGCTGATTAGCAGCAGACAGCCAGTACATGCAAAGATGAAGTCAGGAAAGCAAAGGCTCAGAACGAACAAAGACTTTCAAAAGAAATCATGGATAATAAAAAAAAAGTTTCTTCCAACATATTAACAACAAGAAAAAAGTCAAGGAAACTGTAGGCCCACTAAAGAGAGAAGATGGCAAGGAAATAATGCAACAGGGAGAAAACAGAGCTGCTTAACTCATACTTTGCATCAGTCTTCACACAAAAAGAAACTATAGTCCAACGTACCCAAAAAACCACTGCAAAAGCCAAATTAGAAACAAAAATTAAAATAAGCAAGAAAATGATACAAATGGTATAAATCACCAGGGCCTGATAGATTACATCCCAGAGTTCTGAAGGAGCTGGCAGATGTTATCTCAGAACCATTGCACCACATCTTTCAAAAATCCTGGAGCACCGGGGAAGTACTTGAGGATTGGAAAAGGGCTGATATGATTCCCATCTTCAAGAAAGGGGAAAAAACAGACCAGTCAGTTTAGCAATACCTGGGAAGATCCTAGAAAAGATAATCAAAAAACAGATCTGCGAACAACTAGAAACAAACAAAGTTATAACCAGTAGCCAGCACGGGTTTGTTAAAAACAGATCATGCCAAACCAATCTTATTTCATTCTTCAACAAAGTGATTAAACTAATAGACCAGCGAAATACTGTGGACATAGTATACTTAGACTTCAGTAAGGCATTTGGTAAAGTAGACCATAACCTACTCCTTGGTAAGCTAGAAAAAGGTGGAATAGACAACATCTGTAGCTGGCTGGCAAACTACTCAACGGGTAGTCCTCAATGGCACTACATTCACATGGAGAGAAGTAAGCAGTGGGGTACCACAAGGTTCTGTCTTAGGCCCAGTACTCTTCAATATCTTCATCAATGACTTAGATGAGGGAATTGAAGGGGAACTCATCAAATTTGCAGATGACACCAAACTGGCAGGAGTAGTCAACACCCCAGAAGACAAACTCAGGATCCAAAAAGATCTTGAGAAACTTGAACAATGGACCCTATCCAACAAAATGAGTTTCAGTGTGGAGAAAAGCAAAGTTTTACATTTAGGCAGGAAAAATCAAAGTTATAAGTACAGATTGGGCGAGACCTGGCTTAAAAACAGTAACTGAGAGGGATCTTGGAGTCCTAGTGGATGATCACTTAACCATGAGCCAGCAGTGTGCAGCAACAACTAAAAAAGCTAATACAATCTTGGATTGTATAAACAGAGGCATAGAATCAAAATCATGTAAGGTATTAGTACTGCTTTATAAAACCCTAGTGAGACCAGACCTGGAATACTGCAGCCAATTTTGGTCACCATATCACAAAAAAGTTGAAAAAAATTCAGAGAAGAACAACTAACATACATGATCAAAGGCCTGAAGACTAAAACATACAAAGAATGGCTGCAGAACTTGGGTTTGGTTAGTCTAAAGAAAAGAAGAAATAGGGGAGACATGATAGCAGTATTCCAGTATTTGAGGGGCTGCCACAAAGAAGGTCACGTTATTCACCAAAGTACCAGAGGGCAGGACAAGAAACAATGGTTGGAAACTGATCAAAGAGAGAAGCAACCTGGAATTAAGGAGAAACTTCTTGACAGGACAATTAACCAGTGGAATAGCTTGCCCCCAGAAATTGTGGGCACTCCATCACGGGGGATTTTTTTAAAAGAGGCTAGACCAGTGGTTCTCAACCTTTTTATAACCGCGACCCCCAACCAGTCGTAAGTCGAGGACTACTCAACCGGTTGTAAGTCGGGGACTACTCAACTGGTGCAGCACCGTTTGCAGAATGGGACTTTTGGCGGGCTCAGCAGGGCAGAGACAGCCTGGACAATTCCTATTGGCTTTTGAAAGCCAATAGAATTAGACTCTATTCAAGAGAGTCTATTCTATTGGCTTTCAAAAGCCAATAGAATAAAAAGGAGTAGCACAGCTAAGGAAAAGGGGAAAAG